CCTGCCGCAGCACCTGCGCACGGCCAGCAAGAACGAGGTGACCGTGTGAGCCCGCCTTCCGACCTCGCCGCCGCCGCAGAGGAAGGGGCTGCGCCAGGCGTCGGCGGGGGAGGCCCCTCCTGCGGTGACATGGTCTCCAGAGACAAAGATCACTCTGTCCAGTGTCACCTCGGTGGCGAGTCTCGCGCCCCGAGGTCATCTCTGCCCCAAGATCTCTGAGTCCCACTCTCACAAGGAAACGGTTTCTTCCCGTGTCCTGGTGGAAATGGCGCCTCCACCCAGCGCTGGCGCTGCTCCACTCAAAGCCATCCCCAGGGACACCGCTGAGGACGTGCCCCACACTGTGTCCTCGCCCGTGATGTGGCCTCCTTCCCACAACACTGTCGCAGGACTCTGGCTCTCCTTCCCCTGGTGCCGTCGCCAGAGAAGGTGCCTTGCCCTGTGACACCATCAGAGGCCTGTGCCTCCTCCCAGAACGTCATCACCAGAGGTGACGCCTGCCTGCCTCCTTCCTCGAGGTCGCTGCCAGAGGCCCCCCCTTGGAGGTGACGGCAGCAGACACCCTGCCGCTGTGCTCGGTGCTGAGGAGGGTGTGTTGTGCCCAGGGCTACCCAGGGAGGACGCCCGTGAAGGTGCTGTCCTGAGATGTCCCCCGGCAGGTGCCAGCACTGGAGAGGCGCCCTGGCAGCAGACTCCCCCAGGATGGTCTGCAGATGGCGGCAGTGTCGCCCCCACACAGCCACGTCACCACCAAGTGTCCTGGTCAGGCAGTGCCCCCAGAACTCCTGCCTCCTCCCACTGTGGCCTGGCTTGCTGGCTCCCTCCACAGACCCAGGGACATGAGCGACAGGCTCTCTCTCTACCAGACCCTCTACAGGAAGGCTGAGCCCCGGGACCTGGCCGCACGGGACTCCTCGAGGACAGTACCGTCCATCGGCTTCAGTCCCACAGGACATTCGGGCCCACCACACTCCTGGAGGCCTAGGACTTCTAGGTGGCCCACTTCTTTCTGCCATACCTGGAGACGTCATCGACTCCGCCAACAAAGTCCTAGCCTCCCACTGGAGAGGAGGGCTGAGGGTGCCTGCTCTTGACCTTGCCAGTGATGTCATCTGTGCCACGCAATGTCTTCCGCTCATGATGGCGTAGCACTTGGGGATCCATGTAACCGTGCCATTTCCCAGGCCTCCCCGTGACCCGTCTCAGTGGGGTTCCATCTCTTCCAGGATTTTCCATGACTAACAGTTTCACCATCAACCATGGTTCTCCACAGCCACGGTGTCACCTCCCGGGAGCCATCGAGCCATCGGTGACTGCAGCCCTAGCACCCACTCCCACCAGTGTCTTCATACATCCCAGGGTGCGTGAGGGCCAAGGGGTCATCACTTCCTCTCTTACCTAGAGACCCAAGGGAGCCATGGTTTCATGACCTCCGCAGGTCCGAGTCGGCTCTGTGCCTCCATCCCAGGGTTCCTGAGAGGTGGAACTGCCTCCCAGGACCCAACAGACAGACCAGAGTCATCCCCTGCAGGAGCCATAGAACCAAAGGTGACTATCTCCCACTTCCGCCGGTGTCTCCGCGTCCCAGGATGCCTGAGGCCCAGTGGTGTCATTTCTGCCACGGTGCCATCACCTCCCAGAGTCCATGAGATTCAATCAAGTCAGCAGCAACTGGGATCCCCTCCCCACGTCCACGAGGCGCCTGATGTCACTGGCTACAGAGAGCCACTGTGACCATGGCCCCACCCCCCCCAGGATCCGTGACACCTGACATGTCGTCATCAACCAGGAGGCACTCCGGCCCTGTGCGGTCACCTCGCAGGGCCCACCAGCTTAGGGCTAGACACCAAGATGAGCTATCCAACTGTCCTCCGGGGTAGTGTGGCATTCATAGTTCCCTTCAGGGAATCAGCACAACGTGCCACCCCATTCCTCTGAGGGATGTGGGTGGAGCCAGGCACCCCCTCAAGTCATCAACCCACTCTGGCCCCTCCAGTTGGGTCACTTGCCTTGCTCTCCCCAGGACTCCCGGATCAGGCCCCAGACTTGGCCTTGGCCAGGCTCCCTCTGAGCCCTGCTGAGGGCATCTGGGACCCTCCTGGCCATGGCACTGCCTTGCCCGGCCAATGGATTGGTGACAGGGTCAACTGCAGCCCCCCCCGCCAAGGTAGGGTTTCCAGGCCCTTGAAAGGTGCCACTGCCCTGCTGTCCCGTCCCGGTTCCCCGGACCACACCAGGATCAGTAGCCTCGGTCTGGCGTCAGCCACACCTGCTCCAGAGCTCTGGTCAGCCGCTGGCAGGCCCACAGACAGCAGCAGCCATGGCCTTGGTGCTCCCCACCCTCCCCTCCACCCTGCCGCCATTATCCCCAGCTCTGTACATAGCCATGTTGCGGGGCGGCGCTCCCCACTCTTAAAGGGCTGCACCCCTCCCCCAGACCCAGGACAAGGCCAGGGGCCTCCTCTCCCCACTTAGGAACCTCCAGTTACTGTCCTCTGGAGCTCCAGGCAGGTACCAGCCCGGGCTCCCATACCCCGAGGAGGATGGGGGAGTCACCCCAGTCTGCCAGGCCTTGGCCAGTTTTGCACCTCCACCCCACCATGTGCTCAGACAGACTGGGGTGCCCAAGAGAGGAGCTAGCCAGCCCCTGCCCTGCTCAGCGCCTTGCAGGACTTCGCTTTCTGCAGCCCCAGATGTGGGGTTCAGGTGTGCACCCCTCCACCTGCTCTCTTCCGCCTGGACTCAGAGCCCAGCCCTCAGGCCTGCTGGGTGCCCTGACCTCTCACCTCAAAGAAGCCATGGCGGGGCAAGCCGAGCTGGGACCTGGCCCCCAGGTCCTCTCTGATTCCCCAAACGCACAGAGAGCCTGAGGCCTGCACAGCAGCGTAGGCATCACTGGCCAGGATCCTAGAGGGGCTGTGGCAAAGAGCAGAGGGACAGCGCCGGGCCAGAAGACAGCCACACTCTGCCCCTTCTGTCTCTGGCACCCACATCTCCCACCACGCTGGCTCTGCCTTGTTCCTGCTCAGGCCACACAGGAGCTTTGACTTGGTATTTTTTTGAATAAACAGATGTTTTCCTGATCCGTCGTCTCCAGGGTTTCTGCCGGGAAAGCATAGTTCCCCCGACCTGGGAGAGGGCACTGGGCCCTACGCGTGTCTCTGGACCAGTTTCCTGGGGCTCAGGACCGCCTCTCCCGCCTTCATGACCATGGGGGCCATGGGGATTGAGCCAGGGCCTTCATACTGAGCCCCATCTCCAGACCCTGCTCTATGTTTCATTTTGACACAGGGTCAGTTGATCTGCTGGGCTTGAATTTGGAGTCCTCCCGCCTCAGTCTCCCAAGTGCTGAGAATACAGGTGTAATGTGCTTCTAGGTCAGGCTTTCTCCTGATTCCAACATCAGCTCCTTCTGTGACTCCCGTGGTCCAACCTCATGACAGGAGCCAACCTGGTTCCCGTCCCAACCTGGACAGCTTAGTAACAGACTGTTGTCTCTGGGCCTGGAGGCTGGAGGTCTGGCCCCATCTGTCAGCGGGGCTGGCTGCTTCCTGGGTACAGTAGAGCTGGCCCCCGGCCTCTCTCGCAGTCCCTGGTGGCCAGTGGCATCCTGGACATCCACACTGCATGAGGGCCTTCCCTCCAGCCTTTACCTCCCTGTCCTCAGATCCTGCTTCCACATCCTGGGGCATCAGGGCTCCGGCTTTTTTCTTGAAGTGCCCGGGCACCTCCAGCTGATACCACAGGGGGATGGCTCTGGGCTCCCAACACCTCTTCGGGATATGCAGGTGGGGCGTTGGTTCTCTGTTGACCCGGAAGTGCCTTCCGGCCCATGCCCACCGTGGGAGCCTCTCTCCTAGAGTGGGAGAGACAGACAGAAATGCTGGGTCCCCACGGATGCGGCAGCGCAATGGTCACCTATTCAGGGTGCTGAGACATGGGGATCAGCAGTTCAAAGCAGGGGTACAAAAGGCAGGGGCTGCCGGGCCACAGCTGGCAATGCCAAGCAGCTGGCTTGGCATTGGTTTTTACTTCTTAAAAACCTTACTGGTTTTTACTTCTGTTGCACCAGCTTGCTAAGGACAGAGGACCACACAGGAGTCCCCCAAAAAGAAAAAGGACAGTGGCTGAGGTACCCATGAACCTCTCCATATGGGGCTGAATGCACCCCAACGACAGTGCCTCTCATGGACTGCTCCCTGGGGCATGAGGTGGGACCCTGCATCCCCCAGGACCTGTGTCGTGTGTGTGTGTGTGTGTGTGTGTGTGTGTGTGCGCGTGTGTTGGGATTGAACCCAGGGCCTTCTCATTAAGCTACAGCCCTAGACCTTCTTAAAAATTTTTTGAAAAAACAAGTCACTAAGCCACCATGCCAGGCTCAATTTTTTTTTTTTTTTTGTACCAGGGATTGAACTCAGGACCTTGCATTTGTGAGGTGGTGTGGCACCACTGAGCTAAATCCCCAGACCCAGGCTCAATTTTTTTTGACGGGTTTTGTTGTGTTTTGTATTTTGCACCAAGGTGTCCATATGGCCCTGAACTCACTGTTGTCCTTCACCAAAGAGTGGGGCACAGGGGCTTGAAAGATTTTTTTAAAGGAGTGGGGTCTGTCAGATTCATGATGGAAAGCAGGGAGTCAGCCAGACTTGGCAGTACACACCTATGATACCAGCAATTCAGGAGGCTGAGGCAGGAGGATCACAAAGGCAGCCCAGCACAGGCAACTTAGTGACTTAGCGAGACTGTCTCAAAATAAAAAATAAAAAGGGGGCTGGGGATTTAGCTCAGTGTTTCCAGCGCCTGCCTTACAAATGCAATGACCCGAGTTCGATCCCTGGTACCAAAAAAACCCCAAAAAACAAAACTGAGAACCAATCTCAGACTAACGTAAATTAAATTATTTAGCCGGGTGTGGTGGCACACACCTGTAATTCCACACTCGGGAGGCTGAGGCAGGAGGATCGCTGTGAGTTCAAGACCAGACTGGGCTCCACAGTGAGTTCCAGGTCAATCTCAACTACATAGTGAGACCCTGTCTCAAAAAAACAAACAGGGCTAGGGATAGGGATGGAGCTCAGCTCAAAGGCCCTGGGTTCAATCCCCAGTGCTGCAAAAATGAATGAATAAATGAAACGATGGCCAAGAGCCCCTGCGCCTGTGCCTGTGTCTGGAAGCCCGAGCGTCGAGCAGGATGGGTGACGTGACACAGTCCGGACACCTGCACAGCAAAGGCCGCCCCGTGCCATCGAGCCCAGCCCTCCTCTCCATCCTGAGCCCCACTGGCCTCCCCAGCTCTCCTGATTGTGCCCCGAGCACCGAATTCCAGCCCAGCCGGGCCCTGGCACGTGCTGTTCCCTCTGCACCAGATGCTGCCCCAGAGTGTGGCGCTGCCCAGATGGGCCTTCCCCACAGGCCACCTCGGCACGGCCCTGCGCTGCTCTCTGTTCTGTCCCGGCACCCACTGGCCTGACGTGGGCTCCCCTGCTCGCTCCCCGCATGGATGTAAATGCTCTGGGCTGTCCTGCACCTCCCCTGACGCCCACAGTACCTTGCTGCCCTGTGGCAAGTGTACGGCACAGGTGTCGAGGCACCAGCAGCATATCCACCTTCAAGGAGTGCGACCAAGCATTAAAGAAACTAGACACCAGCCAAGGGTGGTGGCACATGCCTGTAATCCTGGCACTGAGGAGGCTGAGACAGGAGGGTCCCAATTTGGGGCCCAGCCTGGGCAACTTAGTGACTTGAACCCTGTCTCAAAATAAAAAATGAAAAAGGCTTAGGAATGTCATTCAGTGTGAAGGCCCTGGGTTTAATCTGCAGTACCGCAAGAAGCAGAATGCGTGCCACACCTGCTAAACGGACCTGAGCACATGATCATCACGTGTGCAGGGTCCCTGCTGGGTCTTGCTATGCAGCCTGGGTCCTTGGTTCCCTTCCTGTTGATGGGCTGCAATCATCAACACCCAGGAGGCTAAATGCAGAGCAGGTGTGTAAAACGCCCACCTGTGGCCAGTTTTCCACAAACTCTGCTTAACAGACTCGAGTTGTGCTGCAGGACCTCTCTGCTTTTGGTGCAGTACCAGGGTTATGCACTGAGACGCACCCACACACCTTTTTAAACTTCTGAGAAAGGTCTTGCCAAACTGCTAAAATACCTAGACAGGACTGCAATTTGCAGTCCTCCTGTCTCAGCCTCTGACAGTGTTGAGACTGCAGGAAGTCACCACTAGGCCTGGTTGTAGTTTTCTTTTGCACCTCCTGGCCTTGTCAGGGGAGCTGGTGACTGGGGGTCTTCTCGAGGTCCTGTGACCAAAAGGTTACCTACTAATGCTGCTGTCCAGGACTGAGAAGGCCAACAGTCTGGGGCAGCCAGGGTGGGCAATGTCCCCCTGGACGCATGAATAAAGGGAAGCCATGTTAAGCCTCTGGTCCTGCTCCCCACTTGGCATCTCTAAGAAGCTGGGCCTGGAGCTCCAGCCACTGTTTTCAGGCAACAGTGTGGCCACTCTACTGCCCTTGAGGCCTGGAGACGGTGCTTTTCCATCTAGCCATGTATCTGTCCCCCAGGCAGAGACAGAGAGGGCCTTGCTGAGCTGGGGCACCCTGGGATTATAGGCAGCTAAATTATAAGAACCTTAGAATCATGGTTGGAGGGGCATCTAAAGGCCAGGCCTCAAGATAAAGATGCACCAGCCAGGCCTGCAGTCTCTGAGGGATGAGCAGGAACTTGGAGTTACACTGTGATTAGCACCGCCTGGTCAGGAAGTCCAGCTAGGCTTCAGCCACCTAGGTAGGTGATCAGAGCAACCAGACCCATCCCTTCCCAGAACGCCTTTGTTCTTTCCATGCACCCTTGCTATGCCACTCATCGGGCCACTATTAGCTAAGCAGTTATACTTGTAATCCTGTAGGTTGATGGCAGTTGCACCCACATTATGACTCTGCTGTATAAACCACCCCTGACAAAGGGCCTCGGTGGCCACCCATTCCAGACCCCTGATGAAAACTCAGGAGCTATTTATGTCTCCTTATTTCCAATAAAACTCTCGTAACTTCTTCCTTTGGTTTGAGACGTCATTCCTGGAGATTGTGGGATCATGAACTAGGCACATTTGACATCTGTTTGGGAATTATATTTCTCCTGTATCACTGACGCATATATGTAATCCCAGCACTCTAAAGAGGCTGAGGCAGGAGGCTCACAAGAGCAAGCCTAGCTTGGCCCGTTTTACCGAAGCCCTGGCTCCGGGTCCAATCCTGTGGTGCGGAGGGGTGATGTGGGGTGCTGGCTAGAGGCAATGAAGCTTTGGGACCCTCCAACGTTTTTCCGTGGCCTCCCAAGGGACCCAGGTCCTTTTTGCCACAGAAAGAAATGGACAACTGGCAAAGGTCAGAGAGCCAAGACTCCAAGGTTATTAGGCCTAGTCTTCGGGTCTCTGCGACATAGCAAAGGGGTCAAAGATCCTTTCCAGCACAAAATGGCGGATCCAGAAAAAAATACAGACAGATTTCCAGCCCATCCTACCAAGGTAGAAACGCGGAACGCAGGCTGCAAGGAAGTCATTTAAATACACAAAAAAATAAAGGCATTTCATTGGTCGAGACTGTTTCCTCCCCATTGGTCAGTCATCAATCCCGCCGGCTTCCCCTGCGGGCCCCCTTTCATGCCAGGGATTGGTCTGTCCGAGTCTTGTGACCCCAGATCAAGGGCGACCGTCCCTATTGGCCCAAGCATCTCCCATCTCGCATTTAAAATCCCTAGTCCCGCCTCCCCTCCCACAGCCCCGGCCGTCAGAACCGTTAGTCGCGTGTGCGACTTCCTCGGCGTCAGGACGCACACGCGTACGCCAGGCAGCGGCGGCGTCTCATTCAAACAGCCCAATCAGCGGCCGCGCCGCCTCCGGTCCCCTTTTTCTCTACTCGGGTCTCTCGCTTCCTCCGTTCTCGGATGTTCCCTCCCTGGCCCCCGTGTACTGCCTGTGGCCGGCCCGTGGCGCAACACCCACCCAAACTTCTCTGGTTTCTGTCCGCAGTTTGCGAAGTGAGGGTGAGCGCGTCGAACGCCGAGGAACGTGCGCGCTGACGTTAACCGTCGAGGCGCGCCTTGGGGGGGGCGTGGCCTTAGGGCGACTATAAAAGCTCAGTGGTGCTCGCGCGGCGGGTTCAGTGCGGCCGGGTACCGAGGCGGGTGGGTTGTTGTGCTAGGTACGAGGAGGGCGTCCGCGCCAACGGGGAGCGGAGAGAGGCTGCCCG